TGACGACAATGATGATGACGATGATGACGATGATGATGACGATGATGACGACGATGATGACGACGATGATGACGATGATGATGACGACGACGATGACGACGACGATTTGTTTGATGACTCACAGACTCGCCCCCTCCCTCGGCTCGCGAGCGCTGCTACGAGGCTGAGAGACAAACACCGCAGAGTCCACATCGAGAGGCGCCGCACGCGCAGTCCACAATTCGCGCCGAGTAATCGAACCGTGACCCCCCCCCCCCCGTCTTATTACCCGCTGAGTACGGTGATATTCACGTGCTTTGAAGAAGGGCCATTTCCCGAAACGTCACCGATAATATTTATTTTAAGGCCACAGTGTTGTTGAGGAGCGTGCTGATGTTGTTTCACTTCATCAAAGTTCAACTGTGCCACTTGACCAGTTCCTCCACCTGTACGCTCACGGATTCCAGTTTCACCCATGTGTCACCTCACTCGCGTGTCACCTCACTCGTGTGTCACCTCACTCGTGTGTCACCTCACTCGTGTGTCATCCCGCTCGTGTGTCACCTCACTCGTGTGTCATCTCACTCGTGTGTCACCTCACTCGTGTGTCACCTCACTCGTGTGTCATCTCACTCGTGTGTCATCTCACTCGTGTGTCACCTCACTCGTGTGTCATCTCACTCGTGTGTCATCTCACTCGTGTGTCACCTCACTCGTGTGTCACCTCACTCGTGTGTCATCTCACTCGTGTGTCACCTCACTCGTGTGTCATCTCACTCGTGTGTCATCTCACTCGTGTGTCATCTCACTCGTGTGTCATCTCACTCGTGTGTCATCTCACTCGTGTGTCATCTCACTCGTGTGTTATCTCACTCGTGTGTCATCTCACTTGTGTGTCATCTCACTCGTGTGTCATCTCACTCGTGTGTCACCTCATTCGTGTGTCACCTCACTCGTGTGTCATCTCACTCGTGTGTCACCTCACTCGTGTGTCACCTCACTCGTGTGTCATCTCACTCGTGTGTCACCTCACTCGCGTATCACCTCACTCGTGTGTCATCTCGTGTGTCATCTCACTCGTGTGTCACCTCACTCGTGTGTCACCTCACTCGTGTGTCATCTCACTCGTGTGTCACCTCACTCGTGTGTCATCTCACTCGTGTGTCACCTCACCCGTGTCCCGCGTGCAGCCCGAGGCTCGGCGCAGTAATTCGTGCAATTGCTGACGTGCGCCCACGTTGCGTTCGCGCCTTTCAGATGAGACCCCCGTGTGGCATCTGAACCAGACCTGGGGGTTTCTTCTCCGAGTTCGGCTCAGTCTTCAGTGAGCGTCTGAGCGCTCCGCGTCAAAGCATCCCCCAGCGTCTTGCCCCAACATTCTCAAACCCGAGGCGCGGTCCGCTGGTCGCTAGGGGGCGCGCCAGCGCCAGGCGACGCGGTTCTGGGATTCATGACCGTGCAGGGGGTCTCCCGATCTCATCCCCGGTGCTGGAGATTGCGTTCATCCTCGGGGATTCGGCTTCCCAACGAGGGGGGAGAGGGTCAGACGAGAATGTTTTTTGTAAACTGCCCACCCACACCCCAGGTCTCGTACAGACTACACACGGGTTCGTACACACGGGTTCGTACACGCTACACACTGGTTCGTACACACGGGTTCGTACACACTACACACTGGTTCGTAAACACTGGATCGTACACACTACACACTGGTTCGTACACACTGGTTCGTACACACTGATTCGTACACACTACACACTGGTTCGTACACACTGGGTCGTACACACTACACACTGGTTCGTACACACTGGTTCGTACACACTACACACTGGTTCGTACACAGTGGGTCGTACACACTACACACTGGTTCGTACACACTGGTTCGTACACACTACACACTGGTTCGTACACACTGGTTCGTACAGACTACACACGGGTTCGTACAGACTATACACTGGTTCGTAAAACATTGGTTCGTACAGACTACACACTGGTTCGTACACACTGGTTCGTACAGACTACACACGGGTTCGTACAGACTACACACTGGTTCGTACACACTGGTTCGTACAGACTACACACGGGTTCGTACAGACAACACACTGGTTCGTACACACTGGTTCGTACAGACTACACACTGGTTCGTACAGACTACACACTGGTTCGTACACACTGGTTCGTACAGACTACACACTGGTTCGTACAGACTACACACTGGTTCGTATAGACTACACACTGGTTCGTACACACTACACTCTGGTTCGTACACACACACACCGACAAACACACGACGCCCGAGTGAGGCTCTGCGTACGCACGGCTCACACAACATGATTTTGGCTCGCATGCCGTTTCTTATTCATACGTCACAAACACAAATGTTACCCGCATAGCCTTTAACAGACTGGTGGGGCAGGTGCTGTTAGCGAGAACGTGTTCAGGCCGGAGCGGTACACGAGGGGGTGGGTGGCCGGAACCACGCCCGGCCGCATTTGTCTCTCCCAAAGATCTGGGTTACTCATCGCTTGTGTACTTATTTACTCACCGCTGTGTACTTATTTACTCATCGCTTGTGTACTTATTTACTCATCGCTTGTGTACTTATTTACTCACCACTGTGTCTACTTATTTACTCACCGCTGTCTACTTATTTACTCACCACTGTGTGTACTTATTTACTCACCACTGTGTGTACTTATTTACTCACCACTGTGTGTACTTATTTACTCACCACTGTGTCTACTTATTTACTCACCACTGTGTGTACTTATTTACTCACCACTGTGTCTACTTATTTACTCACCACTGTGTGTACTTATTTACTCACTACTATGTGTACTTATTTACTGACCGCTTGTGTACTTATTTACTCACCACTGTGTGTACTTATTTACTCACCACTGTGTCTACTTATTTACTCACCGCTGTGTGTACTTATTTACTCACCACTATGTGTACTTATTTACTCACCGCTGTGTGTACTTATTTACTGACCGCTTGTGTACTTATTTACTCACCACTATGTCTACTTATTTACTCACCACTGTGTGTACTTATTTACTGACCACTGTGTGTACTTATTTACTCACCACTATGTCTACTTATTTACTCACCACTGTGTGTACTTATTTACTCACTACTATGTGTACTTATTTACTGACCGCTTGTGTACTTATTTACTCACCACTGTGTGTACTTATTTACTCACCACTGTGTGTACTTATTTACTCACCACTGTGTGTACTTATTTACTCACTACTATGTGTACTTATTTACTCACCACTATGTGTACTTATTTACTCACCACTGTGTGTACTTATTTACTCACCACTATGTGTACTTATTTACTGACCACTGTGTGTACTTATTTACTCACCACTATGTCTACTTATTTACTCACCACTGTGTGTACTTATTTACTCACTACTATGTGTACTTATTTACTGACCGCTTGTGTACTTATTTACTCACCACTGTGTGTACTTATTTACTCACCACTGTGTGTACTTATTTACTCACCACTGTGTGTACTTATTTACTCACCACTATGTCTACTTATTTACTCACCACTATGTGTACTTATTTACTCACCGCTGTGTGTACTTATTTACTCACCACTATGTCTACTTATTTACTCACCACTGTGTGTACTTATTTACTCACCACTGTGTGTACTTATTTACTCACCACTATGTCTACTTATTTACTCACCACTATGTGTACTTATTTACTCAACACTGTGTCTACTTATTTACTCACCACTGTGTCTACTTATTTACTCACCACTGTGTGTACTTATTTACTCACCATTATGTCTACTTATTTACTCACCACTATGTGTACTTATTTACTCACCACTGTGTGTACTTATTTACTCACCACTGTGTGTACTTATTTACTCACCACTGTGTGTACTTATTTACTCACCACTGTGTGTACTTATTTACTCACCACTGTGTGTACTTATTTACTCACCACTATGTCTACTTATTTACTCACCACTATGTGTACTTATTTACTCACCACTGTGTGTACTTATTTACTCACCACTGTGTGTACTTATTTACTCACCACTGTGTGTACTTATTTACTCACCACTGTGTGTACTTATTTACTCACCACTATGTGTACTTATTTACTCACCACTGTGTCTACTTATTTACTCACCACTGTGTGTACTTATTTACTCACCACTGTGTGTACTTATTTACTCACCACTGTGTGTACTTATTTACTCACCACTATGTCTACTTATTTACTCACCACTATGTGTACTTATTTACTCACCACTGTGTGTACTTATTTACTCACCACTGTGTGTACTTATTTACTCACCACTGTGTGTACTTATTTACTCACCACTGTGTGTACTTATTTACTCACCACTGTGTGTACTTATTTACTCACCACTATGTGTACTTATTTACTCACCACTGTGTCTACTTATTTACTCACCACTGTGTGTACTTATTTACTCACCACTATGTGTACTTATTTACTCACCGCTGTGTGTACTTATTTACTCACCACTATGTCTACTTATTTACTCACCACTATGTGTACTTATTTACTCACCACTGTGTGTACTTATTTACTCACCACTATGTGTACTTATTTACTCACCACTATATGTACTTATTTACTCACCGCTGTGTGTACTTATTTACTCACCGCTCTGTGTACTTATTTACTCACCACTATGTCTACTTATTTACTCACCACTGTGTGTACTTATTTACTCACCACTATGTGTACTTATTTACTCACCACTATGTGTACTTATTTACTCACCGCTGTGTGTACTTATTTACTCACGACTGTGTGTACTTACTTACTCACCACTATGTGTACTTATTTACTCACCACTATGTGTACTTATTTACTCACCACTGTTTGTACTTCTTTACTCACCACTGTGTGTACTTATTTACTCACCACTGTGTCTACTTATTTACTCACCACTGTGTGTACTTATTTACTCACCGCTGTGTGTACTTATTTACTCACCGCTGTGTGTACTTATTTACTCACCACTGTGTGTACTTATTTACTCACCACTATGTGTACTTATTTACTCACCACTGTGTGTACTTATGTACTCTCCGCTGTATGTACTTATTTACTCATCGCTGTGTGTACTTATTTACTCACCACTGTGTCTACTTATTTACTCACCGCTGTATGTACTTATTTACTCATCGCTGTATTTAAGGATGAATGGACCTAGCGGAGATGCAGAACCGGTTCGCCACTGATGGGAGCTGTGGCCAGGAATCGAACTCAAGTATCCGAGTTCGGAGCGCTTCGCTCCCAACAAAGCCACAAACATAATCACACATTAACAAGTCACACGCAAACGCGCAGCTTCAGGCACACACAACGCTCTCCCGTGTAGCCTACACAAAGCTACACAAAGCTGTTGTGGCAAGGGTGGGCACATCCCCCCGCACACACAGAGCCACACGTCCATAACACCGCCCCACACACAAAGCTGCTCTGTACACAAACTAAACAGATCCACAGTGTTCAGAGACGGTTACACAGCTACACACAGCCACATCCGTGCAGCCCTGTTGGAGTGAAGTGAATTGTGAAGGTGCCGATTATAAGTCGCACTTTTCCCATCTCTATTTCAAAGCTAACGTTGGAGGTGCGTCTTATAATCCGATAGGTACGTGTGTGTATATATGCGTGTGTATGTATATTATTGATATAGGGCACACGTTTTGGGTGCGTCAGATCTCTCAGAGCGCCTTACAACCCGCTGAGTACGGGACATTCACGACGTCCAAAGGTGAACTGGAGACCTCGGTGGAATTCGGGCTCGAGCGAGGCTCCATCGCTCTCCAATGAACTCCGCTCTCTCCGCGATGTCCACGAGCTCGACTCTCTCGCTGTTGCTGGGCGGGGTCTCCCTGGTCCCTGTTTCACACCCGGCGTGTCCATGCGCATTCACGATCGCGAGAGCACAAACACCGGGGCCGGAACGGAGGAGCCCCCCGCAACTGTCGTCAATCACTCACTGGCCGGTAACGGGCTGCGAGCCACTAATTAGCGGTGCAACTCTCGCGCGATTGGCTCATCATTCCGAACCAAAACTCTTCACGCATCACCGCCAGCAACCTCCAGCAACAACCGCCACCTCCAACCACGACGACCGCTCACCACATTCTAACCCACGCAACCGCACGCGCAGCGCTGATTACCGCTCGGCTCCTCGCGCCGCTCTGAGCTGCTCGGCGCACGCGCTGCCTGTGGCGAGAGTTTTAGAGATGTGGTCGTTCCGTGTGAGCTGGGGGCAGGGCGGAGTGATGCGTGAGGGAGGAGAGAGAGGGAGGGAGGGAGGGGAGAGTTGTGTGTGTGGGGGGGGGGACTGGGTGAGCGAGGAACACGGCTATAGAAGAAGAGTTGTCGGACCCGAGGGTTGCGCGCCTCGCCCGCATGCGATGCGCGCGCGCGACCGCTGCGAAGTCTCCGCCGCATCGGCACCCGCGCCTCGCCCCAGCGTCGCGATGCCCGGCAGCGCCCGCTCGCTGGAGTCGTAGACTCCCTCCCCCTAGTCCTGCCCAGCGTCAACAGCAGCAACTTGGCTTGCGTCCGTCCGTTCGCGCAGGAAGGGAGCGAAGAAGCTGTGGCGAGTCGGCGCGCGGAGGAGAGCGGAGGCCGTGGAGTTTCGTGGAGTCGGGGAGTTCGCGTCCCGACCTGGGCTGTTTACACCACGCACGATGATGGCTCCGCGGTGGATCGCGCTGGCTCTGTGCGTGGCTCTGACCCGGACGCGAGGAGCCGCACCTGGGGCACGTGAGTCCCCGGCGGACCCTGTGTCTGTGTGTTTGCTTGAGTCCTTACGGACCAATTAATGTGTGTGTGTTCGCGTGCATAGTACTCCAGTGTTAATGGAGCAAGTGGGTGTGGGTGTGTGCAAGTCTTAATGCTGTGTATGTTTGCTGACGTCGTCTTTGTAAAGTTGTCTGCCCATGTGTGCGCTTGAGTCTTGTTGCGTGTGTGTGTTAAAGTCTTAATGGGGCAATTGCGCGTGTGTGTAGTCTTACTCAAAAGCGTGGTCGGGCTTGGTGCTGGCCACCCACCTCCTCGTGCCGGCCTTCATAAGTGCTTGCTAACAGCACTTGCCCCAAAAGTCTAAGGCTGTAAGGAGGATTTTTGTTGCAGTTTTTCAAGGACAGTGCATATCATTATCAGAGTTGTCTCTTTTTGTTTGCATTTTGACTGCTTGTGTTGTGGTTATTGCAAACATGATCCCTTGTATAAAGGTGTCAGTTTGTGTGCCAGATAAAAGGGTAAAAACCTTTCTAGATTTGAAGCTTTCGTGACTGCAAGGATCCATACTCTTTGCTTCTATTCGGTAAAGTCACGTAGGTAAAAAATTAAAACAATAAAAATCACGACGTTTCGGCCACAACACAAGCGGCCTTCATCAGGTGAAGGGACCAACCTGTCCAGCGCACTCCAACGCTGTCCGCTGGACAGGTTGGTCCCTTCACCTGATGAAGGCCGCTTGTGTTGTGGCCGAAACGTCGTGATTTTTGGTGTTTTAATTTTTTACCTACGTGACTTTACCGAATACAACAAAAGAGTATGGGTAAAAACCTATTACTATATATTGCTACTGGAAAAGGAGGTCTCATAATCTTTGTTGTTGTTCGTTCGTCTTATTCGGGACGTTGTTGTGTGTCATCGTATGTATTTTAATGTGACTATCAGCTCCACGTGTGCACCTCGTTTCTATTCAATGCTTTCTTAACGTCGCTGATATCAGTTAAAAGTTTCACGTGGCCACCCCCAGATGGTGGTGGCGATGACGGTGGTGTTGATGACGGTGGTGGTGATGGTGGTGGGAGTCATTGTGTGCGCCAATATCGCTCACGGCAGGTGCGGTCGTGCGTGTTTTTGTGAAAGTTGGGCCACGTCGCCTGCTGAAGGTGTGTTGTGAGTGTGCAGGATCTTTGTCTCGTGCAAGGATTTGTGTGCAGTGGGGAGCGGTAGGGTAGTGGTTGCTCATGTCATGGGTTCAACTGAGTCGCAGACGTAGACTTGGAGGCAACACATTTATTGAGTTCCAACACACGGGGTAACTTTCCCCTTCACAGATTAACACCCTGTGGTGGTGACCACAAGGCTAACTACACTAGTTACTACACTAGTTACTACATTAGCTACTACACTAGTTACTACACTAGTTACCACGTCACTGGTGTAGCTAGCCTGGTGGTGACTACCAGGCTAGCTACACTAGTTATTACACTAGTTACTACACTAGCTACTACACTAGTTACTACACTAGTTACCACGTCACTGGTGTAGCTAGCCTGGTGATGACTACCAGGCTAGCTACACTAGTTACTACACTAGTTACTACACTAGTTACTACACTAGTTACCACGTCACTGGTGTAGCTAGCCTGGTGGTGGTGACTACCAGGCTAGCTACACTAGTTACTACACTAGTTACCACGTCACTGGTGTAGCTAGCCTGGTGGTGACTACCAGGCTAGCTACACTAGTTACTACACTAGTTACTCCACTAGTTACTACGTCACTGGTGTAGCTAGCCTGGTGGTGGTGACTACCAGGCTAGCTACACTAGTTACTACACTAGTTACTAGACTAGTTACCACGTCACTGGTGTAGCTAGCCTGGTAGTGACTACCAGGCTAGCTACACTAGTTACTACACTAGTTACTACACTGGTTACTACACTAGTTACAACGTAACGAGCTACTACGGACCGGGACCAACAGCTTCGGTCCGGGTCCACGTGTTGGAGACTCGGTAGAACGTCGACGAAGGTTGCTTCCAGGATGAACAACAACCCCGGTCCCTCTGGGGACCCGGCTGAGATCCTCTGTGACGTGGCCGGATACGCCCTTGGCCACGCCCACCTTCCAGAATCCTCGGGAAGGATCTGGGTCCCAACCACGTGACCCCCCCCCAGCCCCCTCTTGGGGGGGGGGCCCTTTGTAGACTTAACTGGTCACGTGTCCTCCCGGGTCAACCAGAGTGCCACGGCCTTCAGTAACCTCGTTCCTACGGCCGGCACTCCCACACCCTGCCCTGTAGGGGCTGGCACTGCACGCCAAGCGTGGTGCCACCCAGCGCTGTCAATCAGCGCCCACCGGGCCCCTCTCTTGCCGGCACTGCACCCAGCATGTTAAGACATCCAGCGACGTGACCACACTAACACTGCGCTACGAACCCGACGATGCACGCTCACGGTCAATGTTGAGTGACGATTATAATCTGAACTGGTCCTGGGCCTCCCTTAGATCGACTCTGCTTTAATTGCGTGCCTGGCGCTACGTGTCAAAATCAGCACTAGGGGAGACAAAGGCGGTCGGGCGTGGTGTTTGGCCACCTCCACCATCGTGTACCTTGCCGGCCTTCATAGGTTGCTCGCTAACAGCATTTGCCCCAATAGTCTGTTAAAGGCCAGACGGGGGATATTTGGATTTGAGTGTGCGACTGTTTTCAAGAGTGTTGTGTGTGCATGTGTGAGAGTGTTTGTGTGTTTATGTTTATCTGTCTGTGTGTGCTTTGAGTGTGTGAGGTTTAAACGTGTTTGTGTACATGCTTGTCGATGTGTGTGTGTTTTTGTCGGTGTGTGTTTAACACGTTGGCTTTCGCGACCAGTATCATCCATAATACAGTTTTTTGGGGTTAGATCGTGTAAATATATAATAAATGTGTCGCTGTGGCTTTGCTATCCAACATTTACAGTAAATATCTACAGTACATGTTGTGGCTTTGTTCTCCAACACACCGCTGTGCTGTACTAGTAACCAATTGGCATGTTCTGTTTACGTGGCACACCTTACGAATTGGCTGTGTCGGGTGGTGGCGGGTTTAACGACACATTTATATATTTACGCAATCTAACCCAAAACGCCCTCTATTATGTGTGTTTGTTTGAGTGTGTTGTGTGTGTTGTGTTTGTCGGTGTGTTGAGTGTGTTTGTCGGTGTGTGAGTGTGTGTTTGTCGGTGTGTGTGTGTTGTGTTGTGTTTGTCGGTGTGTGTGTGTTGAGTGTGTTTGTCGGTGTGTGTGTGTGTGTTGTGTTTGTTGGTGTGTGTGTGTTGTGTTTGTCGGTGTGTGTGTGTGTTGAGTGTGTTTGTCGGTGTGTGTGTGTGTTGTGTTTGTCGGTGTGTGTGTGTTGTGTTGTGTTTGTCGGTGTGTGTGTGTTGAGTGTGTTTGTCGGTGTGTGTGTGTTGTGTTGTGTTTGTCGGTGTGTGTGTGTTGTGTGTGTTTGTCGGTGTGTGTGTGTGTGTTGAGTGTGTTTGTCGGTGTGTGTGTGTTGAGTGTGTTGTGTGTTTGTTTGAGTGTGTTGAGTGTGTTGTGTTGTGTTTGTCGGTGTGTGTGTGTGTTGTGTTTGTCGGTGTGTGTGTTGTGTTTGTCGGTGTGTGTGTGTGTTGAGTGTGTTTGTCGGTGTGTTGAGTGTGTTGTGTGTGTTGTGTGTTTGTTTGAGTGTGTTGAGTGTGTTGTGTTGTGTTTGTCGGTGTGTGTTGAGTGTGTTTGTCGGTGTGTGTGTGTTGAGTGTGTTTGTCGGTGTGTGTGTGTTGAGTGTGTTTGTCGGTGTGTGTGTGTTGAGTGTGTTTGTCGGTGTGTTGAGTGTGTTGTGTGTGTTGTGTGTTTGTCGGTGTGTGTGTGTGTTGTATGTGTTTGTCGGTGTGTGTGTGTTGAGTGTGTTGTGTGTTTGTCGGTGTGTGTGTTGAGTGTGTTGTGTGTTTGTCGGTGTGTGTGTTGAGTGTGTTGTGTGTTTGTCGGTGTGTGTGTTGAGTGTGTTGTGTGTTTGTCGGTGTGTGTGTTGAGTGTGTTGTGTGTTTGTCGGTGTGTGTGTTGAGTGTGTTGTGTGTGTTTGTCGGTGTGTGTGTTGAGTGTGTTGTGTGTGTTGAGTGTGTTGTGTGTGTTGAGTGTGTTGAGTGTGTTGTGTGTGTTTGAGTGCGTTGTGTGTGTTGAGTGTGTTGTGTGTGTTGTGTGTGTTGTGTGTGTTGAGTGTGTTGTGTGTGTTGAGTGTGTTGAGTGTGTTGTGTGTGTTGTGTGTGTTGAGTGTGTTGTGTGTGTTGAGTGTGTTGAGTGTGTTGAGTGTGTTGTGTGTGTTGAGTGTGTTGAGTGTGTTGTGTGTGTTGTGTGTGTTGAGTGTGTTGTGTGTGTTGAGTGTGTTGTGTGTGTTGAGTGTGTTGAGTGTGTTGTGTGTGTTGTGTGTGTTGAGTGTGTTGTGTGTGTTGTGTGTGTTGTGTGTGTTGTGTGTGTTGAGTGTGTTGTGTGTGTTGAGTGTGTTGTGTGTGTTGTGTGTGTTGTGTGTGTTGTGTGTGTTGAGTGTGTTGAGTGTGTTGTGTGTGTTGTGTGTGTTGAGTGTGTTGTGTGTGTTGAGTGTGTTGAGTGTGTTGTGTGTGTTGTGTGTGTTGAGTGTGTTGTGTGTGTTGAGTGTGTTGTGTGTGTTGTGTGTGTTGTGTGTGTTGTGTGTGTTGAGTGTGTTGTGTGTGTTGTGTGTGTTGTGTGTGTTGTGTGTGTTGAGTGTGTTGTGTGTGTTGTGTGTGTTGAGTGTGTTGTGTGTGTTGAGTGTGTTGTGTGTGTTGAGTGTGTTGTGTGTGTTGAGTGTGTTGTGTGTGTTGAGTGTGTTGAGTGTGTTGTGTGTGTTGTGTGTGTTGAGTGTGTTGAGTGTGTTGTGTGTGTTGTGTGTGTTGTGTGTGTTGAGTGTGTTGAGTGTGTTGAGTGTGTTGTGTGTGTTGAGTGTGTTGTGTGTGTTGTGTGTGTTGTGTGTGTTGAGTGTGTTGAGTGTGTTGAGTGT